TTTGTACCTCTTGGTTATATAAATATTTTATTCATTGTTGTGCAAAAACTGTTGTTTCTCATGTTTGTTGTTATTCTAGGTTTGTTAAATACTGAAATTTAATGTGAGAGGAAATTGTTAAGTTCATCACGCAGCATATTTATTCACAAATTATTGATCCATATAATTTAATCAATTAACACAATATGCAGAAGTTAATATATGTCGTAAATTGTCATGGGTCCTTACCTAGATCGACAGAATGAACTCTTCCTAACGCTATGTATACTACGCCTCTCAAGAGAGACGGACGGTATTGAATCGGGTCGAGCTGATAGTAGTTTACTCCAAACCAGTCTGACAGTCATACTAACACCTTCCACTTCTTGTATTATTTTTCGTGCAATATATTCTTTGTTATTTCTACTCTTGTATTTAGTGTTGTTCTTCCATGGTCCTTACCTTGGACCATAACATAAATGTTAGTAAAAATAAAAGGAATACTATTAATATGAATAAATGTCAATATAAAATAGAATTAGAAATACGTGTGTAAAATTAGGCGATCATTAATTCGAGTTAAAAGATAAAAGTAAGACGATTGTAAATACAAGTCATAGAAATACGAGTAAACTATGCGACGATAGTAAATAGTATAATAAATACTATAGTAAATACTAGTTGCAGAATAAAATAAACGATATTGGTTTGGTTTGTTTTACGGTATATCAACCTCAATGGGTTATTTACATTTTTATTTCTGATAATAAAGTATTTCTGTTAATAATCTTTTTACAAAAATGTATTGCTTGTATTAAAACCTACTTTTACACCTTCACAGTGCTTTAACCCCAGTTTGGGGTTAACTATTTGCCCATAGCTGGGACCCTTACAGGTGCTACCACCCCCGGGTCAGACTGGAACTTGGAACACCAGCACTTAAGAGGTGGTTCCAGATCAAAGGCTTTGCTGTCGGTCGTAGTTCATCGTCTTACCCTGGACGAAAACAATATTGAAAATGTACGAAAAAAATAAATACAAATAAAAGATAATATTAAGATAACAGTGAAAAATATTCAGCTTGAAGCTCCAACTGAGAATTGCCTTAAATAGCACAATAGCCTAAAGAATTAAAAGTCTCGGCCGTTGTGTCTTTCGGTCTTCATCAGGTGTCTATTGATCCAGGTAATCTACAGGGAATTCCGAACTGAACCCTTTATTTAATCTACGGGTCGAGATTGTTCTCGTTCTACAGCCCATGTCCAAGGATATCACGTCTAGTTCTTATTTTCAGTTTATGTCTCCAGGTTCACCATAGAGAATTGTTCTACGGAACAATAATAATACAATAGTTTAAATTAATTAAATTAGGATTAAAGTAAATTTTTGTGACATAGTAAGTGTGAGTTCAATCCCTTGGCCGGGCAATGTGTACTTGGACAGAGTGGAAACGGGTGAGCAATAACTACACGGTACTAAAATTACGAACTAGATGTCCATAGACATTGGCAGTGTAACTAGAACGGTCTAACCGCGTTGATTAAATGAAGGACACGATTGACGAAACAAAGATGAGAACGTTAGTCCGTATGCAAATAATGTTTATACTGGATGTAACAGCAAAATTGTCCAAATCGTGTAACAGCGAAATTGTCTATTTGTTACATTAAGATTTGAATCGTTGTATCTTAAAAATGATTAAAGATATTTACTGGTATTCTTCGATGGTTTTTTATAACACTATAGAACTATACTTTGAACAATAAGATGTATTTAGCTCTCCCTGTTGTGACCACCTAAAGCAGTTTTTCTCTCTATTGATCCCTCTTTTTAAACTTATTCACCGTTCTCTTGATGGTTCTTGAATGAACTTTGAAGGTAGAAGCCAGGGAATGAATGTTGGTACCATTACTGAAGGCCTGGATGATCTTTTTCCTCTCACCATTGCTTAGTTGGGAAGATATAAGGTGGCTGACACAAAACGATTTTAACCTCTTCTCTTTCTTCCTTATATATATATATATATATATATATATACATATATATATATATATATATACCGAGAGTAACACCAAAATTGCCAAATCGTGTAACAGCAACAGGATTTGAACCGCTGTACCTTAGTAATGATTAAAGATATCTTACTTTTATAACACTATTGGCAATGAGCAATAAGAATGTATAATTACTCCTCACGCTTAACAGATATCGTGATGAAATCTATATATATATGTAGGTCAGTTGTTTGTATGTGTGTGTGTCCAGATAAAACAAAAAAAAACTGCAATAATTACGACAAAATAAATATATATACAGACTCAATATCATGCAAACCGCCTTTTTTTAAAATTAGCATTGTATGATTTGTATTTACAAAGATATTTTAAAATTAAAAATGCATAATAATTGCATTAGGATACATTCGAATTCTCAGGATTAAAAAGTAAAAACGAACCGGAACAATACTCTTTCCGTTCGTTTTTACTTTTTATTTCTGCTGATAATTTCAAAACGCGAAATGTATTTTTGAAAATTTCTATACTCTTGAATTTATTTCCATATCCATAGTAAATTAAAGCGTAACTTAAAATAAAATGAATATTAAAACAACAAAGTAAATTTCAAAGAAGAAATTTAATTGTATCAATATTTTTCGGCCATCTTATGCAAATATTTTTTATTCAATCTTTAAAAAATAAAATTCGTTGGATTTTCTTTTGTAACTAACATAAAAAGTAAATGATTTTAAATTAAGTTTTATTAAAACAAAAAATACAGCGAGCCTTAGTTTTTCGAAAATTAATTTTAAATAAAATATAGTTAAATTCGTAAAATAAATATCCAACATGACTAATGTTGAGCGTAACGTATGTCTGTCTATCATCATTTTTATTCAGATAATTATTTTTTCTTTTCAAATACAAATATATCTTGAAATTTAAACATAATCGGTTTTCAAAACTAAATTCACAATGTATCTTATTTCTACTATCTTTCAATAGTTATTAATTAAATTAATCTACAAAGAAATGTTTGCTTCTTTCAGTTTTTAAAACATAAAATAATCAATAATGTAATCTTTATTTGCTTAAAAAAAATTAATTCCACTTCCAAAAACTTTTATTTCGTCCACCGGGGAAAATTGCTCTCGTTCCACGTTCTATGCCTCTTCGAGATGTTCCAGTTATCTTCCTTTAACTGAACTTTCCAACTATTTGGGTCAAGTCACTGGATCCAACCAACTCTTTTATCCACTGGGCCATGTGCTTGTATATTTAATAAGATTTTCCATATCCGAAATTGATTCAGCACCAGTTTAGTAAGAACAGATGATAGACGGAAGAAAAATATCCAGCCTTCATTTAACTAACGTGATTCACGTTCTGTCTTACCAAAGTAGATTTGTCGGAATAAAATCCATTCTTCTGATGAAGCTGTTTGATCTGTGAAACGTGTCAAAATAAGTGTTTCCCAAATGTTACGTAAAAATATTCTGCAACACAAAATGAAATTAATGCGGCAAGTCCGTGTGGTAAATATCAAATGTTGTGCTTTTCTCAGAGCACTGCAGTGCGAACAATTTGGATATTGAACCATGGAAGAAGCAACTGAGATTATCAAGGGAGAATCATAATGTCGCGTTGAAGTCAACGATCGAGATAGATAGATAGATAGATAGATAGATAGATAGATAGATAGATAGATAGATATGAGCAAATTGAGATAGATAGATAGATAGATAGATAGATAGATAGATAGATAGATAGATAGATATGAGCCAATTGAGATAGATAGATAGATAGATATGAGCCAATTGAGATAGATAGATAGATATGAGCCAATTGAGATAGATAGATAGATAGATAGATAGATAGATAGATAGATAGATAGATAGATATGAGCAAATTGAGATAGATAGATAGATAGATAGATAGATAGATAGATAGATAGACGTAAACGAAGATAGATGTAAACGGATATAGATAAATAGATAGATAGATAGATCCGTTTACATCTATCTCTGTTTACATCTATCTATCTATCTATGCCAGTTCAAATCTATCTGTACCCGTTCAAATCTATCTATCTATCTATCTATCTATCTATCTATCTATCTATCTACGTAGCTGGCTAGCGAGCTTTCTTTCTTTCTTTTCACTGTTTTCTTTCTTGTCTTTCCTCTATGTTTTTATTATATTCACTGTTCTGTTATTTCTTTCCTTCTTTCATTTTCTTTCTTTTTCCTCCTCTGCGATTTCTTCATTTTTCTTTGTGCTTTCAATCTTTCTTTTTCCTTCCTTCCTTCCTTCCTTCCTTCCTTCCTTCCTTCCTTCCTTCCTTTTTACTTTGTTTTCCATTTCTCTTTTTTTTTTATTTACAATTTATTTCTTTATTCTTTCTTTTTCCTCTGGTGGTTTCTTTCTTTCTTTCCTTCCTCTCTGATTTCGTCTTCTTTTTAACCATAGCAAATTCATCGCACAGACCTTTTCGCTAATGAACTGTTTCAGGTTGCACCTTGAGATTTTAATGACTTGTGAGAAAAGCAATTTATCAAATATTTATTTTTAAAATATTTTAAAATAGTTAAAATATTTGAAGAACACTTAACTCAACTCAACTGAAAGGCAAACAAACCAGGTGCACATTACTTGAATTCTGTTTTTCTCTGTCAAAAGAATCTCATCCTTACAAATTGACACCTATTGTATTTATTTATATAGATAAGTACACACTGGAATTCTCGGCAAAGTCTTGAATTTGGCAATTATAGAAGAATTTAAAAGAAGGACAGGGTGAGTCGAGATAAAAAGATTTTGAAAAGGCTTTTCAAGCATAGACATGGGACAAAAGAGTTAAAAAAATATCTATTTCAAGTTGTAAGAGAATGAAGTTGTTAAAACACCTGTCCAGAAGTCGTTTCTCTCGTCAGCTATTAGTTATTTGATAGTGTTAAGAAGAATAAGAAATAAAAGATAGATGTCTTGGGTTTGGTAACTCGAAACTGAGATCATGACATTGAAATGAATGTAAAAAATATAGGCATTCAAGTCAGTTTCATTCCTTTTTCACCTTTTCTTCTTTTTTTTAGTGGCGTGAAAATTACGATTGTGGAACTCTAATTAATCTCTCTGTTTTTTTAGTGAAACACTTCGAATTAATACCCAAATAATTACAGTTTATAGGTGAAGAGAAGGAGAAAAACTTCATTCATTTTTTCTTTCTTTCTTTACGCTTTACCTGTTTTATTGTTATTTCTTCACTTTCTATGCTTTTTTTATTTCTTACTTTCTTGCTTGCTTTTAATTTTTATCTTTATTTTCTCTATGATATCTTTTATTCTTTCTTTCTTTATTTTTTCTTTCTTTATTTATTTCTTTTTCTTTCTTTCTTTCTTTGTACTTAGTTTTCTTTTTCAATATACAGTCTTTCTTTCAATCATTCTTGTAATGACTTTTCTCTTTTCATTCTTGCTTTTAATTTCTTTTTCTTTTCTCTGTGATTTCTTTTTTCTTTAATTCTTTTTTCTTTCTTTTCTTTTTCTTTCTTTTCTTTTACTTTCTTTTCTTTTCCTTTCTTTTCTTTTCTTTTTGTGCTTAGTCTTTTCTCTTTCTATATATATTCTTTCCTTCGTTCATTCTCTGTGTTTTCTTTTCTTTTTTCTTTCTTTTCCTCCTTATAAGCCCATATTATTTTTCTCTGTGCTTTCTTTCTTTCTTTCTTTCTTTCTTTCATTCATTTATTCTTTCTTTCTTTCATTCATTTATTCTTTCTTTCTTTCTTTCTTTCTTTCTTTCTTTCTTCACGTCTGTTCTTATCCGTGTTCTTTATTTCATTTCCGTGTTTCCTTTCTTTCCTTTTCTCTGTGCTTTCTTTCTTTTCGTTGTCTTTTATTTCTTTACTTTCCACTACGCATTTTTGGTTGATACTTCGTTTTCTTTCTTTCTTTTTCTCCCTTTTTTCTTTCTTCCTTTTTCCTTTTTCTTTCTTTCGTTCTTTCTTTCTTTTTTTCCTGTGTTTTTTTGTTTGTTTGCTTGCTTCTTTCTTTCTTTCTTTCTTTCTTTCTTTCTTTTTTTTTCTTTCTTTCTTTCTTTCTTTCTTGCTTTCTTTCTTTATTTTTCTATGTTTTTTCCCTCTGTACTTTTTTTCTTGCTCCAATGCTTCCTTTATTCTTTTTATTTCTTTTTTACAACAGTTTCTTATTTTCTTCTTTTTTTTATATTCCCACCTCATCCACCCTTGATTATCAAATGCCGTCTTATTATCAACCTCACTAAACCGAATGATTACCTTATGCAAAATCATTCAGTTCATTTGTTCCCTTGCTTGATACAACAACAACAACAATAATAATAATAAGAAAGAAAAAAAAAAAAAAAGAAGACTGTGGATTGTTGGATTCAGTTGTTCAACAACAAAAAAGTGATTCTATGTGTATCATTTGAACAGCGAAGTAAAGTTTGGTTAAAAAGCACAGATTTCAAAAAGCTGTCTTCAGATAGCATTTGTTCAGTAGATTCTATTCGTGTGAGTAAAATTTAGATAAGTTCAGTTTAGTCTGGCACAAAGCAATAATCTTTAGGCACCAAGTGAGAAACAAATTTGCCATACAGACAAATGCTTGCAAAACATCGCTCTACACTCTGAGGTCGCAGAGGAAAAGAACTTAACCTAAGCAATGCCGGATATCGTTGCTAGTCTAAATAGGAATTTCATTGCCACTATGTCAATTATTCACGGAATTCAAAGGCCATTAATAAAGGCTTTTGTTTCTCACTGAGGAATTTGTGCTCTTAGATTAAAATAAACTAAGAATTAAAAAAAAAAAAAACACTTTTGACTGATTCAAGATTTAAGAATTTTGTTTTGTTGTTTTATTTTTAATTATTTTTATGTTAATTTTAACCCGATGAGTAGATAATAAAATATATATATATATATATATATATATATATATATATATATATATATATATATATATATGCCATGTTAAAAGATTTTCTTATATAAAGAAGTTGAACTGTAATTAAACCTATCTCTGATTTTATTATGCAAGCCAATGTGTTAACAACAAAATTGATATTAACCAACCGATATTGGGAAGATTCTCATAATATATTTACATTAAATATTAATATAAATTTCTACTGGATATAAAGTAAGGGATCAGTTTGCTATTGTTACGAAGTAATAAATTGATCTCTAGAATTACGACACTGTCATATTTTATTATGCAAGTCAATGTTATAGCAATAGACTTGCTATTAACCATGCTATGTGGGTAAAGTTTTCAGAATATATTTACATTAAATATTAATATAAATTTCTACTGGATATAAAGTAAGGGATCAGTTTCTTATTCTTACTAAGTAATAAATTGATCCACTCTAGAATTACTACATTGTCAGATTTTATTTTGTAGGTCAATGTTTTAACAACAAAATTACCATTAACCGAATAATGTTGCTAAAATCCTCAGAATATATTTACATTAAATATTAATGTCAATTTTTATTAGGTAAATTCAATGTATCCAGAATAAAATTGATATTAACCAAGCGATATTGGGAGAATTCTCAGGGTAAATCTGTATTAAATATAATGGAACCTCGGGTCACGAACGCCTGTCAACACGGACAAATCGGTTCACGAACAAATTTTCCGACAAATACAGTTTCGGGTGATGAACAAGCAAGCCGGCAACGACGTGGAGCCTGGAGTATTGAGGGGAGAGCGCCAGTTGTTATGTAGCTTTCGCTCTATACAAAGGTGTTTCGAGTTAACTTCTGATACAGAATTAATGCACAGAAAATTCTCGAAATGTAATTTTAATAACCTCCATTGATTATCTCTCACTGACAAAGCTTGGCAGCGAGTCACATATATGACCATGAATTCGTCTTGGTAGATATTGTGGCCAGATTGCGTTGCAAGCAGAAATTTCGACGGCTTTGACAGTAATGATTTTGCTAGGTTTCTTTATTATTGTGTGAACTTATGTACAGAGTAATGCTGTAAAATTTTAAATAAGAATTGATCTAGGGTCCAGGAATGAATTAATCCATTTTGCATTGATTTCTATGGGGAAAATGGTTTCGGTTTAAAAACATTTCGGGTTACGAACGGCCTTTAATAACGAATTAAATACGTGCACCGAGGTTCCACTGTCTTCATATAAGGTTCTGAACTTAAAGCGGGGAGTCAATTTTCTTTTGCTACTTTTGCTCTTTTTTTAGTAGTAGTCTGTTACTGTCTAGTGAACGAGATTACATTTGCGTTCTGGCTCTAGTAAAAAAGATATTAAAGGATGACTGATGATATACAGATCCTGACATTAGTTCTTGTTTTGTACGAAGTTAAGGTAAGTAAATTTCAACAAGAATGAATTGGTGTCAAGCTTAAAAGTAGTTGATTTGTTCATATGCCAAATTTTCGTAAATCTTATTTGGTTGAATCATAAATAAATTCCATTTGTGCTTATCAAATATACAAGGTTTTTCTGAAAAGTAAAGGAACTGATCACGTTCTTCGATGTTAGAGGCATTTTTTACAGTGGGTTTTTGCTCACAGCCAGACGGCCAATCAGCAAGTCTACAAAGAGATCCTGTGGTGTTTACTTCGCACAGTGCAAGAGAAACACGAGAGTTGTGGTAGGACAAACCGTGGTTCCCTCACCGTGACAATGCACCTGCTCACAACACCCTGAACGTCCGGCAGTTCCTGGCCGGGAAGAAAATCGTTGTACTAGAACAACTTCCATATTCACCTGATCTTTCTCCATGTGACTTTTCCTTTACCCTGTCTCAAGTGGATCAGCACAGGGACGCGTTTTTACGACGTGGGGTTATCAAGAGGGCCGTAACGACATAGCTGAGGGGCGTCCAAGAAGAATCCCTCTAGCAGTGCATAGAAACGTGGCAGACAGAGAAAGATGGAAAAGTGCATTAGACTTCAGGAAGATTACTTTGAAAAGGTGCAACCATGTATTTTGAAATTTAAATAAATTATTTGTAGCACCAGTCCTGTTTTTTTTTCCAGATAGACTTTATATTCTTCAAAAGTACGATTATATTTTATTCACTTATACATTCACCGTTATTTGCAATGACTTATTGCAATTTATCAGGCAGTTATTCCATACCATTTGTGTAAAATTACGCAAGTTTTCCTGAGAAAAGTTTTCAACCAGCATTTGGATCTGATTTTCAAGGGGAAAAAGATTTTCCTATCTGGGAGTTTTGTAGTGATCAAAAAAGGTAATAATATGTTTGTGCAAGTACAGGTAGGTGGTAAGCACAAAGCAACAGTGTTCCACTTTTTATTTTTGTGCTGTTCTTGCTGTATGGGGCCTTGTTTTGTCATGGAGGAAAACAACATTTTTCCTTTAATCCGCTGTGTACGCTACCACTGCCGTGCAAAAACTAAGGTATGTTAGTATAGTCCAAATTTATTCTTATCTAGGAGATTACATTCGTCATTACTATCGGTCCCCTAAAACGGGATTTACTTATGACTTAACCTACTAATTACTCTGAATAATCTTAATAATCATAATTACAAATAATTGTAGATAGATTTACAAATAGCGCTCCAGCATTAAATGTAAATGGATAATAAAACATATTAATCTATGTTACCATCCTGTTTACTCGCATGTATTGCCGTTATACATTCTACATGATCAGAGAGTAGTATCTGTCTGATCCTGACACTTCTGAGTTGGAATCATTTAAGCTTTCTTGGTGAGAAATCTATATAAAAATATGTTGGGATGTAACTTAGAAAAGAGAGAGCATGTTGTGACCAAAGTAAATGGCTAAAGAAATAACAAAACATGTGTTACTGATATATCATATATTAAACAGTAAATACGACAGAAGATTATTGCACGACTAGTGAATATGTGTCGGTTGACCAACGTTTAATCTAGTCGACTGTTGATATTTACCAGCCTCCCCACAAAGTAGGATGTGGTTCAAGGCCGAGTTTACTGTGGGGCAATCCGAGCCCGTAAACTCAGCCAAAAATTCCCCGTAGAGCCCGTATAAAATGCGGTCAAGTAGCTGTTTCACGAGATGAGACTCTGCCATTCGACATAGCCTCGTCTGGGGATCATCTCTGCCCGGAGTCAGAGTGTTTGACCAGCACAACCGGAACAATTCTATTCGACTATTAATATTTAACAGCCCCACCCCGAGTTTTACGTGGGTTCTCCGAGCCCGTAGGCTCGGCCAAAAATATTCCCTTCGAACCCATATAAACGGGTTCAGTGTTTGTCTACTTCCCCGGACGGAACTTTGCCCTTCGGCAAAGCCTCGTCCGGGTTCCTCTCTGCTCAAGGCAGAGAGTTCGGCAGTAATGAACAATCTAGGCGACTGTTAATATTTAACAGAAACGAGGGATGTATGTGGCAAAGCTTCGTCCGGGTTCCTCTCTGCCGAGGCAGAGAGTTCGACTATTTGAACAATCTATGCGACTGTTCCCCTAAGGCCTTCTCTCCTTCTAATCTTATAGTAGGCAGAAGAGTCCAACATAGACTCTTTAGAGGGAGGACACCACAACAGATCGATAGACAAATAGAGAGAAATAGAATCAGATATCAAATTGTGCAATGAGAATTGTTTTTAAAGGCCACGATTCTCTAGGGTTTTATTCTTGGACCTACGTTGTTGTTTTTTGTCATCACATCAATGACTTTTCCGGTGTCATCAGTTCCAAACTGACTATTTACATTAATGACAGTTATGGTCCGGTTCCTTGTACCACGGTGATAGTCCAAAGTAGAACCAACAAAGAAGAACGCGAACACAGGTATGGAATAACACAAATATATTACAAACAGGAATATATACAGAGAAGTAGAAGTGTTAGTATGAACAATCAAGTAGAGAGAACAATGTAGTCTCGACCAGTATCACTATTCCAATGTCTTGCAGTAATTGTCTGAACGCGATTCTGTTTCGGACTGCCTCTGACTCGACTCTTGACTCGACTTGAACTACTGACTAGACTTGAACTACTGACTGACGATATTCAGTCACCCACCACGAGGGCGTCATGTGGCACAAGGCCTTTTTAACGTGGGCTCGGTTTAAAATATACCCATTTGAACCCGTATAAACGG